TCATATAATCTAATAATCATGCTTGTAGGTATTGACCCAATTGAGTTAAAAACACATCCCCACTAGACCCTGTATGCAAATGTTTATAGTAGCTTTATTTATTAGCCTCAAAAACTAGAAGCCATCAAGCTGTCCTTCAACAGATGGACAGACAAACAAACATCAGTATATCCATACAAGGAAATAGTATTCAGTGACTTTTAAATGAGCTATCAAGTCATGAACAGACACGGAGAAACTTTAAATGCAGATTGCTAAGTAAAATAAGGCAATGTAAAAAGGCTACTGACTGTATGATTACAATGATAAGATATTCTGGAAAAGGCAAAACTACAGGGACAATAAAAATTTCAGTGGTTACTAAGAGTTTGGAGAGGAGACTGGAGCACAGGAGATTTTTAGGGCAGTGAAACTATTCTGTATGATACTGCAACAATGGATACATGACATTACACATTCACCCTAGAACATAGAAAATCCATAGAATATTACATATCTATTGTATGCAAATGTTAAAAATTCATTTAGGAGGTCAGGGTATCCCATGAAAGAATGAAGACTGCGACAAGAGAATCTAACTGTATTACAAATGTAGGCAGCAACCACAATGAAGAGGGTGGGAGTAAAGTGATAACCTAAGTAACTTTGGAAATGGAGTCTAATAAGAGTACAAAATAAAATTACAAAAGTTATAAAAGAACTTATAAAAGAGGTTACAAAAGAAAGAAAGTTAAAAAGAAATTGCACATAAGCACTATATTCTAGTTGATAAAGTTGTTGCCCATGGTGGTAGGAGTTGACAATTCTGACATTGCTATATGTGTTCATTGGAATTGAATAATTAACTAAATGTACTGAGCAGATTGTGGGAACCAGATTCTCTCTGTTGGAGTGGTCATTTAATGATATCAAAAGAAGTATGCTAGAATGATGGATGTGCCAATGGATTACAGTTTGAAGACATCAGTAAAAACTGATGTTTTACTTATTGTAGTTACAGATGGTTACATGTAGAAATATTTATTAACATATGAACATTCACAGGTTAGTACTCACATATATTTCTTTGCTCTGTCAGCTGAGAGGGCCTAAAAGAAATTACACCCCAGTAGTAATAAGCATACCTAGTGTCCAGATCTTGGTTCCTAATACCATTCTTCAATAACATGAGCCAGAGCTCCACAGAGGAGTAGCTGATTCTAAGACTGGCACAGGAAATATACAATACAAGCCCAGAGCATATTGTACTCCCCGAAAATAGGGAAGTGCTCAAAGACAAAACAACACATTGATGAGGGTATGTCACAAAGACACAAGAGCCAACTGAAAGAGCTCCCAATGGTAATGGTAAAATAACTTGAGCAACAAAATAAATACAGTATTGGATTATGACTCAAAATATAAAATAAATATCTATGAGTACATACAAATATAAATAAATGATTGAATAAATCAATAAATAGGGTACAAGAGACAAATCTCACATGCACAAGAATTCCAAATAAATTATATAGATACTTGTTATGAACTGAATTGTGTTCTCCAAAAATTCATATATTGAAGCTATACCCTCAATGTGACTATATTTGGAGGTAGAGCCTTTAAGGAGGTAATTAAGGTTAAATGAGGTCATAAGGGTAGGGCCTTAATCCAATAGGATTTCTCCTTATAAGAAAAAGAAGGGATTCCAGAAATCTCTCTCTCTCCTCCCATGCACACAGAGAAGAAACTAAGTGAGGACACAGTAAGAAGGTAGCCGTCTATAAGCCAGGAAGAGAGGCCTCACTAGAAACCAACTCTTACGGTATGTTGGACTTCTAGCCTTCATAACTGTAAGAAAATAGATTTCTGTTGTTTATGCCACCCAGTCTGTGACATTTTATTATGGCAGCACAAGCAGACTAACACAGATTTTGGTACAAAGTAGGGCGCTACTGTAACAGATACCTAGAAATGTGAAAGCGGCTTTTGAACATGGGTGATGGGAAGGCTAGAAGAGTTTTGAGGTGCATGCTAGAAAAAGCCTAAATTGCCTGGAAAGGTGTGTTGGTAGAAATATGGATCTTAAATGTGATTCTGGTAAGAACTCAGAAAGAAAAGAGAGCTGTAGATAAAGGTTCTATCATCTTAGAGAATACATATATTGTAATGAATAGAATGATGGTGGAAATATGAACGTTAAAGATGCTTTAGGTCTCAGGTGGAAATGAGGAACATGCTATTGGAAATTGGAGGAAAGGCAATTCTTGTAATAAACTGGCAAAAAAATGCTGAATTATGTTTTCCTCTTGTTTTATGGAAGGCAGAACTTTAAGTGACAACCTTGGATATTTAGCAGAGGAGATTTCTAAGAAAAGTGTTAAAGTTGTGGCCTGATTTCTCCTTCCTGCTTATAGTAAAATGCAAGAGAAAAGAGATAAAATTGAAGGAAGTTTTCAGCAAAAAAGAACAAGAACTTGGAGATCTGGAAAATTCTCAACCTAGCCATATTGTAAAAAAATGAGAAAATATATTCTGGACAGAACACTAAGGATGTGGCTGGACAATCACTCCATAAAGAGATTACCATGGATTTAACCAGGAATTGAAATAGGATCATACCAGCAGAAATACTGTCAGCTGGGACTAAAGGAGATAGAAAATGGGACAGAACGAAGGAAAGTTATTGGACTTTCTACAGCATGGTATTGTTATTCTACAGCATGGGGCAATAGAGCTATAGGCTTCAAACATGTATTATCTTTTATGAAAAGGGAACAATGACTTGAAGGCAATTCAAGGATCATCAGGGCTGCCACTTTCACCACAGGTGAAGGGGGTAAGGCTGTTTCCTCCTTGGTTTCAGAGTGTGGGGCAACCTTCTCGGTTTCAGTGGGCCAGGAGGCCGCTGCCCAGTGTCTCAGGGGCAAGGCTATCCCACAGAGCCATGGGACAGAGCTCCCATGTAGAACCATGGGGGTGACACTGCCACTCTAGCGGGCCCAGAGGGCAGAACATCAAGCCAAAGAAGATTATTCTCAAACCTTAAAGTCTAATGAAATTTGCCTTGCTAGATTTGGACTTGTTTGGAACATATCATCCCTTTCCTCTTTCTGATTTCTCCCTTTGGGAATGGAAATGTCTATCCTATGTGTGTCCACCATTGAATTTTGGAAGCATATAACTTGTCTGGATTTATAGGTTCACAGATGGAAAGAAATTTTGCCTCAGGATGAATTATACTTTGTGTCATCCATACTTGATTTAGATGATAATCAGATGAGACTTTGATATTAGAATTGGAATTCCAATTGCAATTGGAATGGACATTGGAATGGGTTAAAAATTTAGGGGCTATTGGGACAGGGTGAATGTATTTTGCATGCAAGAAGAATATGAATTTGGGGGGTCAGAGGGTGGAATGTTATGGACTAAAATGTGTTCTCCCAAAATTGATATGTTGAAGCCCTAACCCCTAATGTATCTGTATTTGTAGATAGTGCCTTTTAGGAAGTAATTAAGATTAAATGAGGTCATAAGCACGGGGCGGTCATCCAATAGAACTGGTGTCCTTATAAGAAGAGACATCAGCTCCGTCTCTCTCTCTCTTTCTACCTCTCTGCGTGTGCACAGAAGAAAGGCCATATGAGGACACAGCAAGAGGGTGGCCATCTGTAAGCCAGAGAGAGAAGCCGAGATGCCTCAATAGAAACCAACCCTGCCGGCACCTTGATATTAAACTGCCAGCCTCCAGAACTGGGAGAAAATAATTGTCTGTTGTTTAAGCCACCCAGTTTGTGATATTTTGTTATGGCAGCCCAAGAAGACTAATACAATACTCTATCCTACAGGAAAGGGAGCTTAATTCTCCAAGCCCTAATTGTGGGCTGTGCAAAGCAACTTCCCTCTAAAGGTACAGTACGGAAAGGAGGAAAAAGGAATAACTTTACCGTGGAGAAACCTAACAAACTACCTCAGCCAGGTGATCGAAGTCAACATCAACAGTCAAAAATTATGTTGATATGATGTGATGAAAATGCTACTTTATGTCTATGATCTTCCTCTGAAAAGCCAGTAACCCCAGTCTAATCATTAGAAAAACATCAGACAAATTCCACCAGAGGGACATCCTACAATATGCCTGTCCTATAGCCCTCAAAACTGTCAAAGTCTTGAAAAACAAGGAACATCTGAGAAACTACCACAGCCAAGAGGAGCCTAAAGAGACATGAAAGCTAAATGTAATGCAGTATTCTGGATGGGATCCCAGAACACAAAAATAACACTAGGTAAAAACTAAGGAAACCTGAATAAACTGTGAACTAGTTAATGATAGTGTATCAATATTGGTTCATTAGTTGTAAGAAATGTACCATACTAATGTAAGATGTTAATAATTGGGGAAATTGTATGTACGGGGAGGGGAGTGACATGGAAACTCTATTATCTGCTCGATTTTGCTGCAAAAATAAAACTATTCTTTAAAAATAGTCTATTTTTTAATTTAAACAATTCACCTCTATATTAAAATCATCATCTTCATATCATCATCATCTTCTTCATCAAACAAAACTAAAACTTTCGCTCTCTTCCGACGTCTTCAAGCTTAGTCTCCGTAGGCAGAACTCAGTAAGAGTATTTTATGCATCCTCCCGTAAACGTTTTACACACATACAACACATGTTTTCTCAAAGCACAAATGAATTAGATCTCTCTTGAGAAAGTGTGTTTTAACTGATATGTGAGAAACAGAGCAAGTGTGCACAAAAGTTCAGAGAGAAGTGAAGGCTGAAGAAATCCAAAAGCAACATAACCTTTTTCACAATTAAGACTCTCCTTGCACAAATTAAAGATATGCATATAAGAGTTTTAAGTTCTATATATTTGTACACCTAAAGCTTAAAATGATCCTGAGACTCAACTTCTTAGTATGATCTCCCTGTGAATCTTGTTGGAAATATTGATTTGGAATCCTTACACAGTATAGTCAACAACTGAATTATAGGCACATTAATTTTTACCTTCCATCTTCAAGTTTTCTTTCACACATTCCAGTGTTGTGTACCTGATTTCCTTTATAGTCTTTTCTTCTTTAAGACAGTGAGAATATTTGTGATAATAAACTGAAAAAGAGAATAAGACCATTCATTTTACTGGTAGTGTTTTGACTTTGTTCTTTATTATTACTCTCTTGCATTCTTTACACAAACAAAGTCTACAAATGTTCAATTACTTGAGTAGAAGGATCCAGACTGTGGAAAAAATTTCCCATCACCCCACATTTAATGTAACCCTAATCCTACTGATTTTGAAACCATAGATTTCTTCAGAAATAGCTGAAGATCAGTAGTTGAAAGAGGACAGGACAGTTCCCCTACAGTGGGTCTAAAGGGACTTACCTATATTTTCCTTCAATACTAGATGTATGATGCATGCAAAGGCTAAGCCTTGGAGGAGGGGAAATGGAGAGAAAATGGTGAAACATTTCTATCTGAGGATGTTCACACGCTCCACTTCAGCAGCCCGAGATTTGCAGGTTCAGATCCTGGGCATGGACTCATGCACTGTTCATCATGCCATGCTGTGGCGGCATCTCATATATATACAAAATAGAGGGAGATGGGCACCGATATTAGCTCAGGTCTAATCTTCCTCAGCAAAAAGAGGAAGGTTCACGATGGATCTTAGTTCGGGGCCAATCTTCCTCACACACACACAAAAAAAAGAAAATCCAACATTGATCAGGAGGGCAGGACATTATTTTCTTCACTTTCTTTCCTTTATCCATCCCAACTGACTCTTATTCCTTAGTACACCAACACGCTCCAGTCTCTCACAACTTAAAACTAACCTACTCTCCCTCTAGAAAGTGAATCTTCTCTTTCTTTCCTCCTGACCTCATTTGCTCCTTAACCCACCACATACTGGCTTCTGTTTCCACCACTCCACTAAAATCACGCTTGCAGTGGGTCATCAGTAATATCCTAGACCACTTCTTAGTTTTCTTCCTCTTTGACCTCCTGTAATACTTGACCCTAATTCTCTTCCCTTTTAACTCTTGGGACACTACTCTTTCCTAGTTTTGCCCCCATGTTTCTTGTTGTTGCTTCTTATACTCCTTGAAAAGCTCCTCTTTCTCTATCCATCTCTTTTAAAATGTAACAATCCCCAAAGTTCCATCTTTATCCTTCTTCCTCGTACTAAATCCTCTCCTGAGTGATATTACGTGTCCCCATGGTTTCAACTGCTACACATATGTAAATGACTACCAAAACTCAGACCTCTTTCCTGAGATCCAGACAAATATGTTTCCAATTAGATACATCCATTTGAGGTTTCCAGAGTCATATAAAACTCAGTATGCCCAAAACTTAAATCTCCATCTTTCATCACAAACCTGTTATTCATCCTATATTATCTCCCTCTTTGATTAACTTCATGATTTCTTAGTTCACCAAGTCAGAATATTGGAGCTGCACTTTACTTCTCTTGATCCCTTATTCCTCAGATCTAAATGTTCATCAAGCCTTTTTACCTCCTTGATTCTACCTCCTCACTATCATTCAAAGCTACCCCCTCTTCTCCTTCTTCACTACCACAGCCTTAGATCAGGTTCTCATTATTTCCCAACTGGATAATGAATTGGCTTTCTAACCACTCTCTTTACTTTCAATTTTGTCCTCAAATATCCATTTTATACACCTCTGCCAAAAGCATATTTCTATTAGTCAAATTTAATTATATCACTTCCTTGCTTAAAATCCTTCCATGGCTCTCCATGACTACGACACATTGCAAAAGTGGCCACAATATTCAACTCTCCATGTGCCCACATTCCTTTGCAATATGACTTCTCAGCTTTTCCAACAAATAAGTGGGGTCTATTTCTCCACCACTTGAATGTGGGCTGGCTTTAAGACTTCCTTTGGCCAATAGAATGTGCAGAAGCAACTCTAGTTAGTTCAAAGATAAGGCTTCAAGAGGCTTTGCTCATTTCCACTGTCACTCTTGGAAGCCTACAAGTCTCCATCTGAATAAGCTCAGGCTAGCCTAATGAATTATGGAAGAAATATGACCGAATTGCCCATGTCATTCCAGCTGACATCCTCTTCCTTAGAAACTGAGTGACAGGAACCTGACTGCATATGCATGAATGATTTCAGCCAGGAGCAGGGTACCTCCCAGTTGAGCTCAGTCCAAATTGCCAAACCACAGAATTATGAGCTAAATAAATAGTTGTTCTTTTAATCCACTAAGTTTTAGATTGGTTTATTAAGCAGCAGAAGATACTAATAAAACAGCCTTCAGGGAAAAAAAATCCATACTCTTTAGAATGCTACAAAACACTCTTCATAATCTGAGCCCTACTTATGTCTCCCACCTACAACTTCATTTCTCACAGTTCACTTAGCACCATATGTTCCAGTTATTTATATTTATGTTTCCACAAATTTTTCCATGCTTTCTCACATCTCTACGTCATTCTTGGGACACACAACTGTAAGTGTCACCTCCTTCAGGAAGCCTATCTCAGCATCCTGTGCTTCTTATCTACACAACACTTACCATAAAATGTTATAACCATTGGTTCATTTGAACACTTACCACCATTCCCTGAACTTCTTGAGACCAAGGGCTATGGCTCTGTCTAGACTCTGTCTGGCACAGTGCCTGACATATAGTAGACAGCCATTATTGCTTATTAAATGACAAAATGGAAGAATAAAATATCTACCCAAATATATATTCATTTTAATACCTTTTAAAAATTTGAGAAATTCTTAAAGCCAAAGATATGCAGAAATCCACATATTTGCCAAATGGGCTTTTAGATTCCACACAGTCTTGGGCACAATAGAAATAATTAAGGTGAAATTTCAAAGGGAAACTCTTCCTGGAATATTTCTTCCCATCTCCTTCTTGTCTACCTGCTCATCCCAAAATACATGTCTGTGCACTCAAAAAGGCATGGCCTTATAAACACTAGTAAGGAAATATAGATTCTCTCTCACTTGCACAACTGTCTAGTGTAGAAATGGTGCCCTATAGATTTCACTCTACAACACAAACACATGCACACACATATATTCCTCAATTTCTCTAAAGAGAGTGGATTCCATTATTTTTATAGAAGAGTAACTAAATTCAAATAAAACAGAATTTCCAATGGATTCCCACTAATTATGTCTCCCCCCAGAGAAGACTTCTTTTCCAAATTTCTGGATAAACCCACTGTTAAGTATCAGTATCTAATGTATGCCATCTGTTCATATAAGGCAGACATTCCTTATAGATTCAGTTGGATACTTACTGGTAAAAGCGACAGAAAATGAAATTCCAAATAGCAGCAAAAATGTCAGCAATAAGACAAGAGGTAGCTTGAGAAAACCAGAGTTACATTTGCGAAAGCTGGTGTTCTCTTTAGGAGCTGAAGGAGAAATCAAATTAGTTTCATCAGTAATAAATTCTGACCTTTACCTCCTCTTTCTCTTTCTCTTCCTCATCTCCTTTCCTTGGATGACACACTATTACTAACAATGCAATATTTGAAATAACATGAAAATAGGAAAGAAATAATAATGTTTGTTGTAGAAACTTTGAAAAATACATAAAAGCACAAATTTCTACCATTGACGATAACTGTTGTTAATATTTTGGTATATATCCTTCCAGTAATTTTTAAAGTGTATATACATGCATGCACATTTTCCCACATGATTGACATACTGTATATACCAGTTTCTGATCTCCTATTTTCTCATACACTATATGATGAACATTTTTCATACCACTATATTTTCTTCTTTAACATTCTCTATTGTGGTTGCATAGTATTTCATTATGTATTTAAATAACCTTCCAGATTGTTTCCAACTTCAAAAACTTTAAATAATACCATAGCAGATAAATCTTTAGAATCATCCCTCATCACATCCTTAAAATAAGGTCACATCCTTTTAATTGCTATTTCATGGTTAAGAATTACTTTCTCAAGTACCCATCAAAGGATGAATGCATAAAGAAAATGTGGTATTTATATACAATAGAATATTATTCAGCCAAAAAAAGAATGCCATCTTGCCATTTGAGACAACATGGATGGACCTTGAAGGGATTATGCTAAATGAAATAAGTCAGACAAAGACAAATACTGTATGATCCCACCTATATGTGGAATCCAAAGGGCGACAGGGAGAGTTTGGAAGATGGCAGCACAGAAGAATCCTGAGCTCATCTCCTCCCGTGGACTCAACAAATCTACAACTACCTGTGAAACAATTTCCTCTGAGAAAGATCTGGAAAATGGATAAAAAGAACCTCCACAAAAGGGACAACACTGACAGGTATAGACGAGGCAGAAATACAGCCTTGCTGAGGGAAAAAACCACATCCTAGCCATAGTACTTCACGGCCAGAAGTGATGTCAAAGGTATGGAGTAGTTTCTGAAAGAGTAGGGGATCTGAGCTCCACATTAGGCACCCCAGCCCTTAGATCCAGCACAAAGAGACAATATCTCATAATACCTGGTTTTGCTGGCTTTGAAAACCAATAGGGAATATACCCAGGAAAATTACAGAACTTCAGAGAAAGAAAAACCTGCTCTTAAAGGGCCCACACACAAACTTACCCAACCTAGAAACCAGCACAAAAACACCAGATAGAAAAGTGCATAGTCTATTGGTAAAAACAAACAAACAAACAAAAAGACAAAACTCACTCACCAAGCTCAGAGTATATCCCAGAGAGCCAGGAGGCAGCTGGGCCCATCCCCCCAGGGACCAAGACACTGGTGGCAGCTATTATTGTGGCCTAGTTCAGTTGTGTTGACACTGATCCTGGCAGGTGACATTGGATTCCTTCCTCTAGCCTGTTAGCACAAGGGTCTTCCCTGACCACTAGAACACTCAAGGTAATGGAGCATAGCCAGGCAGCAGGGATCCCACTCCAGGGACTGGCCCCACAGCAAACTTGTGGGCCCACATCGGTGGGACATGTGGGTCCACAGCAGACTTGTGCTGCTGGCCATCACAAACAGCCAAACAGGGGATCTGCCCTGCCTTCCAAAGCCTGAAATTATTGTGCACTGCCATGCCTGGGGCTGGCTCTACCCGTCTGCACTCCTGAGGCAGCTGTGTACCACACGACAGCATAGCTAGATCTGGCCAGAAGCCAGCCCTGCCCAAAAGAGAGCTGATGACAGCTGCATGCTGCAGGGAGCCTCACCAGAGGCCTGCAGCAACTGTGAGCCCCTGAGCCTAGCAACCAGACATATTGGAGCCTGACTCACTTAACAGCAAAACAGCAGTAGTTGTGTGATATTAGGCCTTGCAGTCAGCCATGCTGGGGCTTGCCCCACCCAATAAAGTGACTGTAGCAGCCACATGTGGCTTAGTCTTACAACTAGCTGGCCCAGGGGCCAGCCTAGCCTACCCATGCACCTGCAGCAATAGCAATCCTGCCACAGCAGAAGGGCACATGCAACTCACATAGGGGATTCCTGGAGCATTTGGCATTGGTGATGAGAGGGGAGAACATTCTGGGCCCCATAAGGCATCTCTTACATAAGGCCACATTTCCAAGATTAGGAGATGTAGCTGATTTACCTAATACATAGAAATAAGCAGAGAAGTAGGCAAAAGGAAGAGGAAAGGAATATGTTCCAAATAAGGGAACAGGACAAATCCTCAGAAAATGAACTAAGCAAAACAGAAATAAACAATCTACCAGACAAACTAAAAGTCACAGCAATGCTCACTGATCTTGGGAGAATATATGAACACAGTGAGAACTTCAGTGAAGGACTGGAAAATATAGAGGTGACATCAGTATCATGGCAGAGTGAATTGTTCCCTTTGTCACTCCTCTCTAAATTAAAACCCAGTAGGATATCCACTGACCAAAAGAGGACTCCCTGCACAGCACACCAGAATGCCTGAGAGATCCATGCATCTATGTATCTAAAGGTGGTGGGCTGGACCTCCAGGAGGCAAGTGGAACCACTGGAGCAGCCCCGTCCGCCTGCCCACAGCAGTGATTCAAAACATGGATCTTCACACTGGTGAGTGTGCCAGCAACCAGAGACTGCAGGGGCAGACATACCACTCATGGCTTAGCCCCTACCCCCTACCAGTGGTGGCAGGTGGCACAGTCATCCTGAGGCTTCACAACACAGAACGGAGCCAGTGACCCAGCCCCCTCCCTCCCTCTCCCCTAGAAGTGGCTCTGGTCTTTCCAGCAGTGGGGATAGCAACTAAAACATGCATTTCTCCAGTGGTGGTGGGGTGCTCTGATCTGAGGTTTCAAAATACACCAACACATGCTAGTGACCAGAGGCTGCATGAGCAGCAGTGACACTCACTCACAGCTTAGCACCTGCCCACCACAGTGGTGGCAGGTGGTGCACATGTCCTGAGGCCTCAAGACACAAAGCAGAGCTAGTGACCCATCACTTCCCTCTCCCCTGGCAGTGGCACTGGTCTCTCTAACATGGGGATTACATCTAAAACACATATTTCCCCAGCAGGGGTAGAGTGCCCTGACCTAAGGTTTCAAAGCACACCAGTGCATGCCAACCACCAGAAACTGCAGGACCAGCAACAACAGTCATGGCTTAGCCCCTGTCTCTCCCCCAGCAGTGACAGACGGCACTTGCTATCTGAGGCTTCATGAATCACAGTAGAACCCATGACCCAACCCTAGTGGCAGCATCCCCATCACTGGCTCTACCAGCAGCAAGGGCTGCATATAAGACCCCAAACCCTGGCAGCAACAGCAACACCTGTGAACTTAGCACCCCTGGCAGTGGTGCTTCCAGCAACCCCAGATAATCTGGGAGCAGCAGCACAGGTGGTTAACGGAGTAACAGCACCTGAGCCTGAGGAGATCCTGCAGAAAGCCTGTGGGGGACCACAAGACCCAGGTGATCCCAGAAGCAGCAAAAGTGCTCACAGCTTGGTGACCCCAGTGGTGACACCTGAGATTGCAGCAAGGCACCAGCAACCTCAGAGGCACAAGCAGCACATGGAAGGCACTGAAGACACCTCTAGCAGAGGCAGTGGAGGATGGAAAGTGCAGGCTCTCAAATACAATCAGAAGAAGCTCAGAACCAAAGTAACCAAAGCCTTACCCAAATAAAAAAGGTGTTTACTACCACAAATACACCAGCAGAGGATCAACTCATCAAGTACCATGAAGAACTACAGTAACACAGCAGAACAGAAAGAAAATAACAACTCTTCAGAAACCAAATTTGAAATCACAGAAGATTACAATCTAACTGACAGAGAATTCAAAATAGCTGACACAAGGAAACAACAAGTTACAAGAAGACTCAGAAAGACATTTCAATGAGCTCAGGAATAAAACTAATGAAGAAAAGGAGTTCATCAAAGAAACTGAAACTCGGGGGAAAAAAAGAGAAATTCTTGAGATGAAGAAGACAATTAATGACACAAAAAGTAAAGTAGAAATCATTGACTGTACAGCAGACCATATGGAAGAAAGAATTAGTAAGCCTGAAGATAGAAATATAGAAATGATTCAGGTGGAAGAGGAGAGAGAATTAAGATTTTTTAAAAACAAAGAAATTCTATGAGAAATATCCAACTCAATTAGAAAAAGCAACATAGGGGCCAGCCCCGTGGCCTAGTGGTTAAGTTCGAGCACTCTGCTTTGGCAGCCCAGGGTTTTGCTGGTTCAGGTCCTGGGCACAGACATGGCACCATTCATCAAGCCACACTGAGTGGCATCCCACATGCCACAACTAGAAGGACCCACAACCAAAAGAAAAAATATGCAACTATGGACCAGGGGGCTTTGGGGAGAAAAAGGAAAAATAAAATCTTTAAAAGAAAAAAAGAAAATGCAACATAAAGATAATAGGTATCCCAGAAGTAGAAGAGATGGAGAAGGAAGCAGAGAGCTCACTCAAAGAAATAACAGCTGAGAACTTCCCAAATCTGGAGAAGGAACTGAATATACAAGTATATGAAGCCAATATAACTCCTAACTATCTCAATGCAAAAAAATCTTCTCCAAGGCATATTATATTAAAATTGTCAAAAGTCAGTGACAAAGAAAGAATACGACGGGCAGCTAGAGACAAGAAAATAACTTACAAAGGAACCCTCATCAGGCTATTAGTGGATTTCTCAGCAGAAACTCTACAGGCTGGGAGAGAGTAGAATGATATATTCAGAATATTGAAAGAAAAACTATCAGCCAAGAATACTCTATCCAACAAATTTATCCTTCAGATACGAGGATAAATAAAAGCTTTCCCTGACAAACAAAAGCTGAGGGAATTCATCGCCACTAGACCTGCCTTACAAGCAATGTCAAAAGGAGCCTTCCTACCTGAAACAATAAAAAAAAGGTTTACCAAGCTTTAAACACAGTGATAAATAGACAGACAGAATCAGAAAATT